TTTTTTAAAAAAGAGATTGATAAGATGTTGGTTGAAAAAGGGAAAAAGAAAAAGAAAAAAAAAGTTAACAAAAATTAACTTTGATGAACTAATGAATCATGGTAAAAAAAAAGCCATGAATTCTATGTGCAGTATTCCCCTAGCGCTGGAGTTCTCCCGTTCTCCTTGATCAGTAAACTTGGTCTTGGCTTGCTGGCTGTGCGTGCTGATCTTCTGGGGGAGGGGCCTGTTGCCGTGGTTCCCAAATGTCTTTGCTGGAGGTGGAATTGCCCCGCCCTTGTCGGTGGGGGCTAAGCAAGCTGCTCAGGTTTGCTCTCAGGAGCTTTTGTTCCCTGCAAGCTCTCGGTACAGCCTTGGAGGAGCAGGGTGAAAATGGTGGCCTCCCAATCTCCACCCAGTAGGAGCCGAGAACTTGGGGCCCTGCTCCTCAGTGCGCCCCCAGAGAAAAGCAGTCACTCCCGTCTCCCCGGTCTCCGGCCGCACTCCGTGCTCACCTGGCCTGTGACCGAGCGTTTCTATCTCTGGCACCTGACCCCGTGTGGAGTCTCCAAACCCAGCAGATCCCTGCGGTGCGCTCCCGCGCCGCTCCTCCCCGGGGGAGGAAGGGGAGTCTCCTCGGATCTGCCGCTTGTTGGGTCCCTGCTGGAGGAGCAGTGGCCCGACTGGGCCGCGGATCACAGTTTATGGCCACCCCGAGCTGAGAGCCCGCGCCTCGGCTCCCTCTCTGCAGCCGGCTTCCCCGCTCCGATACCTGGGAGCTCTGCCGCACTCAGGCACCCCTGGTCTTTCTGTGACCCCGAGGGTCCTGAGACCACACTGTCCCGCGAGGGTTCCACCCCCCCGCTTAGCCACTGCAGCGACGTCCCTCAGCGGAGCCGACTTCTAAAAGTTCCGATTTTGTGCTCCGCGGCTCCAGCACTTACCAGAAGCGGCCGGCGGAGGCCCCCTCCCCCGCCGTCTATCCTCCTGAATATCGCCTCGGATTCACTTCTCCCCACGTCCTACCTTCCAGAAAGTGGTTGCGTCTCTGTTCAGAGAGTTGTTGCCATTCTTTTCTTCCATCTCCTGTTGAGCTCGTAGGTGTTCAGAATGGTTTGATCCCTATTCAGCTGAATTCCTGGGACCAGACGAAATCCAGGTCTCCTACTCCCCCGCCATCTTGCTCCACCCCTTGGGTTCCACTTCTTAGACAAGTTTTTATTTGGTGTCTTTTTTTCAAATTAGGATTGGTCTTATTTTTTGTCACTAAATGGTTTATTGACAGGTGGCTGCATTTTACAAAAGTATCTCTTACTGTGTGTGCATGGGAAAATTACCTTTAATAGAACATGTGTTAGAACATATTAGGATGAAGAAGCCAGAATATATGTCTCATCCAGGTGGAACTGGGGCACTGAATTAGGTATCCCCCAAACTGGGGCTGCTCATACTTTAATGTGCATCTGAGTCTCCCTAGAGGTCTTGTTAAAATGCACGTCCTCATTTTCTTATTCTGGAAAGGAGTGTGTGAGAGTCTGCATTTTTAACAAGCCCCTGAGGATGCTGATGGGGCTGATCCTGGAAGTTACACTTGGAGGAACAGTGCAAGAGGGGCTTTCTGGTGTCCTCTCATTCAGTGTTGTTATATCTACTTATTTAAAGTGATTTGGAAGGGAATTTTTGAATTCCATCTTTTTTTTTTTTTTTTTCATTTTATTGAATAGCCTTCAAGATGAACAACCACCATGCAGGGAAATAGAGTAAATGTTTCTTTTAGTGGTCCTTCTGCCAATCGATTCTCTTCTGTCTTCCTTTTAGGCCTCTGATGATTGTCACACAGAAGATCACAACCTTGGCATTCCAAGTTCATGATGGTGAGAAAAACAACTCTCCTTTCAGTTCTGAGAGTGAGCTCTTCATTTAGACAATACCCATAGTCCAGAGCTTAGCCAAGTACTGGCAGATCTTTTTTAACTTGTCAAAAATTTACAAGCTTCTTTAATCAAAGCTCTTTACTTTCACAGCTATTATTTCTGTAATCTAAAGTTGCTGAAATATTTACACTGAGAACAGTTGGTTTTCTGTTTATATTTATAATGTTTTAAATTTATGGTGCTCTCTGCCCTTTATTTCCAAATCTCTTGAGAAGAAATGGCATCCTTTTTCTGTGGTTTAATCTGAGAAGCTCACAAGGTAATAAAAAATAGTATTGGCTGGTTAACAATTTTTTTTAATGCTAATTTCGTTCTGTTTAGTGTTTTTGTTTTTGTTGTTTGGCTTGGAAAATTATCTAATGAGATTAGCCTGACCCTTCTCCTTGGAAGAAAGAAGCTCCTGTTTGTATAAAACTGAACATTTTCTTTGCTCATGCCCTTCCTGAAAATGACCAGAAAGTGTGATTGACATGATTAAAACCTGGTTCCAGGGAAGGAGGACGGCACTTTCAGCCAGGTGGAAGATTTCAATATGGGTGTAAAAGGTGTCAGGTGCAATTAGTAAAAGTATACTCTGCGGATTTGTACTGTTCTGGCAAATGCTTTCGGACTGTTGAAGCTTCTTTATGAGCGAGAAGATTTACAATCTCTGTTAGCTAGTCTTATTTTTCTTTAAAGCTTGGGACCGGATTTAATTTCATTTTGACCCTGGGTATTCCTAGTTCATACTTGGTGATTTAGTCATTCTGTAGAGACCTGGGTAATTTCATACCAAGGATGGGGTCTTTCTGGGGTGACCAACTGTCCTGGTTTGTCCAGAACTGAGCAGTTTCCCAGGACATGAGCCTTTTAGGGCGGGCCCAAATTGGAAAAGTCCAGAGTAAACCGGGGTTGAGTTGATAAATGTTTTTGTACCTAAAAGTCTAGTTGGTAGTGGTGATAGACTAATATTAGCACATAAACTAATAGCTAAAATAAATTTAATTTCTAGAATTGCCAGAAATGTTGACATCTTAGAAAAAAGTGTGATTTAAAAAAAAAATCTTTTTTTTTAAATAGGCTTTTTGCCTAAATTACTTTTTAAAGCATTCTTAGTTTACGTGATTTTCTGGAACAGCCCTTACGTATAGCAAGATGTTTGTCATTTCTTTTTTTCTTATGTGTAGTGGGAACAGCAAACACTGTCTTCCTTTATGCATTTTTCTGAATTGCCTTTATGATTGGTGACCATCGTCATTCTTAGCTCGATATACAGCTTTGTAGTCCAATGTCTATAGCTTATTAGATGACACTTAAGTTTCTGTGACTATAAGCTAACATAAATTTTATGAGGAGCACAAAGGTGATTTGGTGGTTTTTTTTTTTTTTTCTGGCATGGATGAATTTTAAAAGAATCACCTGATACATCTTTTATGTTTTTCCTGCATTCAGGATTACATTTCCTGTGTTTTTGGAAGAGGAAAAATCCCCTATTCCTTTCCCCATTCCACACCCGTGCTCTCAGCTGCTAGCAGGTGTCTGCAGCCAGCCTAATCAGAGAGGTCTTTGAGGTGGTGCAGGCTGCAAAGGCAGGCTTCTCTCTCTCTTGTAGGGGTGAAAACATACGTACTTTGGTAAGAAGTGGAGGAGATGTGGGGAGTTCTCTGGGATCCATGTCCTACCGTGCAGTTTAAATAGGAGTAACCCCTGCTTTCTCCCCTCTTCACGAGAACCTGCGGAGACTTTCCCCTTCACACGTGCACTTGCGGGTAGCTCTTTAATCCAGAGCATTTTCAAAAATGATTTTATGATTTATGAAATAAATGTGAAATAAATCATTTTTTTCAAATGACTTTTATAAGCCTCTTTTAGAATTTTCTACTTCAAACATCTTATTTCTACATTTTTTTCTTTTTTTATAGGATTAGGTCGAAGAGCTGAAGACCTCTCTGCTGAGCAACATCGACTTGCTGTGAAGTAAGTTTAACAATATATTCTCGAGCCCTTTGTACATCAGTGTCTAGAAATCCTCCTCATTTTTCAATGCAGATTAACTCCACTATACGGACATATTAGTGTTTATTAACGAATCTATTGGTGGGTACTTGGGTTGTCTGCCAATCTTTGGCTTTTACAAACCCTGTTCCTAGGTCATTTTAAAAAGGTTTGGGTATAGCAGTGGGATAGATTCCCAGAAGTGGGGTTGCTGGGCCAGAGAGTACACGGGTCTATAATTTTGTTAGTTTTTCAAGATTCTCCTTCACTGCCATTGTTAGGTCTCTTACAGAGTTATTTTTATTGGGTATGTGTCTGCCCAATAAATTATCAGTGCACATCAGTATGATTAAATGCGGCTATGAAGACAGATGGGAACAGGGCTGGAGAGAGGACTGTGAGCTGGGGAGTAGGAGACAGAAGGCAGGAAGCAGGAAGCAGGCTGAAGGTAGACAGTGCCTGGTGTGGATGTTGGAGAAAGGGAGGCTGTAAGGGAGAAGAACAACATTGGTAGGGAATGGAAATGGTTTGTGGGGTAGCACATCAGGGAAGGACGGGCAGCTACGGTGGAGGGTTCCTATAGGAGACTTTCAGGAGATAGTTAGGGGTAAGGAAGAGAGAGGGTCCTGAGTGGTACGGAGATTGAGTGCCTCGTTTTCACATTAAGGGACTGGGACTCAGAAGCAATGGAGACCCACTGCAGGAGACTAATGAATCAGATTCTTGGCACAGTATTGTGGGGGTATAAATGCTGTAGGGCATAATTCCAGTGACTGGTTAGCAATGGCATTTTAGGGAGCCTTTCCCCACAATACTATCCTGCCCCTTTAAATGCCATTAAAACACCGCTACCTAGAACTGGTCTCTATAGAATTTTCCCCCCGCCACTACTTTTGTCTGTGGTTGGGGACCTCATGCCTGGATGCCAAAGCAGACAGGAGACTGCTATAGTGGTGGTTTTGTGTGTCCTCTTCAAGAGGAAACTAGTTCCACCCATCATTTGTTTTGTGTCTATTTTGGCAGTTGGGAGGGAGTTTTCCCATTTCACAGCATCTCGCTCAGCTCACATTAGGTCAGGTTCCCACCCCTGCCTCGTGTTTATTACCTTCGTTCTCTCTTACAGACAGCTAAGGTTGCTGAGAAAGAGCACGTCCCAGCCTCAGAATTAGCCTGGATCTCGCCCTCCATGTCTGTGCCGCCGTCGGCCAGCAGAGGGCGCCACGGAGCGCTGCACCTTCTCGGAGCCACCCACCTCTATTAACTTGTCCTTTCCACAAGGTTTCTAGCTTAGGTGGATTTTTAGAGAACCGGAACAAAGAAAGACCACGTCATGTGTTATCATCTACAAAGACAATGCCTGTGTTTAGGATTGGCTGACCTGCGGATCTCAGAGAAAAATCCAAGAGTGAAGGCTTTTCAACTTTTTTTTTTCACTTTATTTTCACAGAGTAAAACCCTCTTTTTTGGAATACTTAAGCTACCTTCTCAACTTCATGAGTGTCATAGCTGGCCCTTGCAACAATTTCAAGGATTATATAGACTTTATTGAGGGGAGACACATACACACGAAGTTGCTGGAAGTGAACTGGAAGCAGAGAGGTTTCCACAGCCTACCAGAGCCTTCTCCCATTGTAAGTGTTTAGTGCCAAGTATTTACCCAGAGCTCCAGAAAAATAGAGCTCCGTTGCCAGGGCTGACTCTCACTAGTAATTGTTCTAATTAAAAAGCCAAACAGTTTACCAGAAAGCTTGGCCAGTAACTCCCCCCACCCCCGTTTCCCTCACAGCAGAGCTCATGGGCTGGAAATATTAAAGAATCGATCCACTAGGTCAGCCTGCCAATATTTAATGCTTACGGTGTGCTCAGCACTGTGCTGGTTAACACATTCGGATTTATGAGTGCCTTTTTGTCTTTATGAATAGAAATTCATATCCAGCCAAAGGATAATGTCATGAAAGGGGGATGGGGAGGGAGTTGGAACCAGAATAAATGTTTGTTTGTTTGTTTGTTTTTTTATCGCAGAGCCTGCTTCTTGTGTGGGAAACCAGTTTTATGTTGGCATGCTTAAAGATTGGTTTTACTGATTTGGAGAGTTTAAGATGGTTTTTTGGAAATCCTATTTTAATCCTAACTTGGATTTTATTAATTTCAAGTTAGTCAGCATTAGGATAACGTGTCAAACTTCACAAATATGCTGAATTTATTCAGGTCCAATATCCTATATTTAAGGGAAGTTTGTAATTGAAGGAAGAGGGAAAATTGGAAAAAGGAGAAAATCAGGATGATTGAGTTAAATACTTTGTAAATGCTAAAATCTAGGCAAAATTAATTATTTGAAAATTTAAGTGACTCACTAAGCGTGAATTTTCAGATAGTTTTGACTGTCTGAACACAGGTGTCCAGCAGTGTATGGTTTGTCAACGGTCTCAGCTCTTCCTGCGTCATTGGAACAATGCAGGAGTGAGGTCGCCATAATCATGAGACATCAAAGTACTCACAGGAGTTTCTTGGCAGAAACCGCAACAGTAGTTCTCTTGTGTTTCACATGCTCTTATTTAGAGAATATGATCACAGAGTCTTAATATCACTCCCCGGGGAGACTCTTGCATTTTTGTGCACAGAGAAAGTGAAGCGGTCAGGTGGTATTTTGGCTAAAGACACATCGGGGGGAGGCGGCTGGCACTCCCAGGCTGGTGCCTCCCCAGTGTGTTGTTGATAATCGCGGCCACACATGGTGAGCACTTGACTGGGAGCCCGATGCTGGGTACCTGGCAAATATTCATTCACCTGAACCTCAAGCCGCTCTGAGGAGGAGCTATTACTGTCCCCGTATTACAAAAAATGTGGCCTGTTTTTATTTTTATTTTTTTTAAGACTTATTTATCTGATGGAGAGAGTGCACCAGAGTGCAAGCCTGAGTTGGGGGATGGGCAGAGGGGGAGGGAGAGAATCTTAAGCCAACTTGGCACTGAGCGTGGAGCCTGACACTGGGCTCAATCTCCCAACCCACGAGATCATGACCTGAGCCAACATTAAGAGTTGGATGCTTAACGGACTGAGCCACCCAGGTGCCCCACCCAGAAAGTGGCCTGTTTTTATAAAATTGGGAACTATAGTTCTATTGATGTTAAATGACATTCCCTGGAATGTCAGGAAGACTGGGCAAAATCACTTGGTCCAGAGGCATTTAAAATGTCAGCGCATCTTAATGCTAGAGCAGACTACATGTAAACCATCCTGGAAGGCTTTCTAAAACTCTCCATTACCTGCTCATGTCCCGGCTCAGGCATTTCAAAACTTGCACAGAATCCTTCCTAGCTTGAGCCTCTGTCCTCCTTGTGGTGATTCAGACCCATTTCCTTAACTCTGCTGGCAACAGAAGTAGAAGGCAAATGGTTATTCCTTTCTGATAGAAGATTGTACTCTGTAATGCTCTTTTTTTTAAAAGGTTTCATTTATTTATTTGACAGAGACGGTGAGAGCAGGAACACAAGCGGAGAAGTGGGAAAGGGAGAAGCAGGCTCCCCAACGACTGAGCTGCCCAGGTGCCCCAGTAATGCTCTTTCTCTGAAGTTTTGGGTAATAAAACCACCTTCCTTTTGGGGGCACCTGGGTGGTTCGGTCAGTTAAGTGGCTGCTTTCAGCTCAGGTCATGGTTCTGGGGTCCTGGGATCGAGTCCTGCCTCCTTGCTCAGCGAGGAGCAAGCTCCTCCCTCTGACCCTCCTCCTGCTCATGCTCTCTCTCTAAGAAATAAAATCTTAAAAGAAAAAAGCTACCTTCCTTTTGTCAGTAGAATGTGCTAGTAATAGTTTTCTTCCATTTTAGATACATTCAGACCTCAAGTGTCAGTGGTGTAGTCTTCATTTGCATTTAGTCCCTATGCCCAGCATCCAGTTTGTGTCCTAGGAATGCCTGTCGCCGCTCCTTGTAAGGAATATTACCAAAGCAGCTGTTGGAACTGCTTTGTCCCTAAGGTGCCCTTGCTGAAATTGTTTTCCTCATACGGGAGTCTTGCATGGTTACCCTGATTTTTTTTTTTCCACATTTTCAGAGAGCTGTGATACGCAAGCTGTGTATGACCTTGGTGTCTCTCCTCCTGTTTTTGACGCTCACGAAGTCCTTCCCTGTCACCTGCCTGGTCGATGACTGGTTTGTTCATAAAGCAAACTTTCTGACTCGACTCTGCTACTTATATATTGTCATGCAAGCCTCAAAGCCCAAGTATTACTTTGCCTGGACATTAGGTACGTTTGATGGAATGGCCCTGAGTGAATGAGGGGAAAAGGGAGACTCCTTGGATGGCCTCTCCAGAACAGCACTGTGGATCCCCTAACCAAAAAAAAGTTCAGTGCATGATGGAGGTAGCTGAGCCAGTATCATTTTGTACTTTCCAGCAAAGCACCCCTGTGTCCTGCCATCCATAAACTCAGTTATCCCTGAAAAGAGAAAAGCAGTCCTAGCTGTTGCTTCAACTCAATGTTATTAACAGATGTGCAAACTTGGAAGCTTCCTCCACCAATCAAAGGTGCCCATTAGTACAGTGGAAAGTTAGGGGAAGATTCCAGAATGATCTGGCTGTTTGTCATTTTTCTGGGTCGTGCATAACCGAGGGGACATGCTTGAAAAAATGTACCAAAACACGTGCTGGTTTAGGGTCACACTTTTTCTTTAAGAAATTGTTGGTTAAAAAAAAAAAATTGTTGGTTAAGATTTATGTCTTAGAAACCGAATTCAGGTGACTTTTTCTTTTTTAAGATAGAAAGTTCAGCTTGATTTGCTTTTCTCTTTCCTTTCAAACTGTTTTAGACTGGAAAAGTTTAAAGCTTTGCTGGAGTGAGCACTAAGTCCTCCTATTTACTTACCAGGAGTGGTAAGGGACTTTTGATAAGGCACGGCAGCTCAGGAATGTAAAGTTAAGTTCTTAGCTGAAGGTGACCTGGGGCTTGATGTCAGGGACCCCTGATTTGGTTTATTAAGTCAAACGGATGATTAAATTCAGCACCTAGTGCTTAGCCTGTGTTCCATGAGTGAAGGCATAGCACTTAATTGAGTTCCTGTTCTCTCATTTCATGCTCCAAGTTTTTATCCCCAAATTAAAGCTGGTAGCTACTAAATTACTTTTTTACTTTTTATTGTGGTAAGATAGAACACAATTTATTATTTTAACCATCCCTAGTGTACAACTTAGTGGCATGAAGTTCATTCACAGTGTTGTGCAACTATCACCACTATCCATCTCCAGAACGGAATTTCCCCATCACCCCAAACAGGAACACTGTACCCATTCAAAAAATAAGAACTCTTCATTCCCCAAGTCCTGGTCTGAATTATTTTTAAAGGTCGAAATGTTCAGGGAGAAGTTCAGTCCAGTGCGGTATTTATGTGACACTTGGCCAGAAAGATCGAACGGAGGGCTTTTAAAACATCTGCAGCATGGGAAGTTTTGTTTGTCACCTTTGGTTCAATTCAGGGAGTTTTTGTCACGCACCAGGTTCTGTGCCAGGAGGAATGCAAAGGTGAGTAAGCCCTCTTCTCTGCCATCAGGATTGTTAACAGCTCGTGGACACAGGGACGGGCACACCGACCAGGCAGGAACATGGCGAGCTGTCCCAATGCCAACAATCCAGAGGGGATGAGGAATATAGACCAGTTGTTTTGGAAGGCTTCAAAAGCCTCGTTCCTCTTTCTGCACTTGCTTTATGACTTAAGAATGACAATTTCTTCAGTAGGTAGGCATGATACATAGCTATAGTTGGAACCTAGCTTGGAGCACCAGGCTTATTTTCCTACGTGAAATACTTAATATTTCCACTTTGCTCTAACCTGAGTGTGTGTGTGTGCAAATGAGAGAATGAGAGAGAGAGAGAGGGGAAGAGATAACAGCTCACTTCCCTTGGCTGCCTTCTACGTCTTCACTTACCCTTCCTTTTCTGTCTCTCTCTCCCTACCTCTCCCGCTCCCATATTCCGTGTCCTAGGGCTTAAGGGCTGGCTTCTGGACTAAATCAGCTCCCGCTTTAGGAGGAAAGCAAGGCCCTGCATGGCCTCCTAGGGAAAGTCTAACTCGAGGTGGGTTGTGCTGGTGGGGGTGTGGGTGGGGAGGGGGTTCTAGGCAACGGGGGGGCGTCTGGCATCGTTCTGCCCTTTTGGGAGTGCCCTGGATACTGGGAGCATCCTTTTCTGTGAGTAGCTTTCTCCATGGGCTTGGCTCTTTTCTGTACCCCTTTCCATTTATCTTTTCTTTTGCGGGGGTGGGGGCGGTAGCTTCAGGAGAAACACTTCATTAATTTGTACTCCTCAGTTCGAACTTTGTTACAGTTTAGATTGCATGGGCTGGTCTGAAATTAACCTTTGTATCATTTATGAATAAAGAAGCAATGAATAGTCTAACAGGGAATATTTAAACTGCTTAACCGAATAATTGTTTTATCCAGTTCCTTAAAACATCATTTATATATAATTGATGCACTAATTCTACATGATTATGAATTTAATCCTTAAAGCTAGACTCTTCATGAATCTCAGCTGAGCTGCACCGTGTTAGCCTCACTCTTGTTACTGTTTATATTGAAATAATTAAGACAATTTTCTTCGGACTTATTATAAAATTCTGGTTGTTTTCCCCTAATTAGTACTGATTAGTGAGACTCAACTTCAGCCCGGGCTGTGTTCCAAGGATCACAACCTCCAAAATAATGGGTGTCCAAGTTAATTTATCTGTAATAATACACTAGACAATACAAGTAAAGCCAGTTTGGGGCTGGTGAACTTAGAACCTCTAACTGCTCAGACAAAACCACATCTTGCATAAACAGTGGTGAAATGCATGACGGGGAGCAAGCACGTCCCTGGCCTCTCGACGCAGCCTCTGAGAGCCACCCTTCTGATCCTTCCTTTGTCTTTCAGAGTGACTCCTAGTCACTCAGGTGGTGGGATCAGAATCCTTTCTAGCATTCAGAGCCTGGCGCTGTTGACCGCCTGAGTGAGCGGAATGTTAGCATCGCTAAGCCTTGGCAAGATGGGTCTGGGAGAACAGGTAACATTTCTCGAGGGCTGACTTGGGCTAGGCACTGCGCCAGGAGCACCATTCATGCCTCGTTTAATTCTTTCATCGTGGCTTTGAGATAGGTACCACGGTCATACCCATTTTCTTCTCAAGGGAATGGGTTTCTAGATGATAGACAACTCTCTTGAGGCCATACGTTGAGTATGTTGCTCAGTGGAGACCCAGAAGCCAGGGGCTCTGCCTCTAGAGCTCACCCTCCCCTGGCATCTTCACACCCCGCTGGGAGTGCTGAATGAGAATGCTTGGAGAGTGCTTTATAAAGTCCTGGGAAGGTAGTGGGCACCTGAAAGAGAAGTTGTTGTCTGGGTTTTAGATGAGCCTGGAGGTAGGAGGGGGAATTGAAGGGCTGCTGGTCCCATACTGTCTGGCCAACCCTTGGTTTTCATGTCCAAAACAGACCCCAAAGGGTTCCTCTTCTCCTGGTTCAGCTTACCTTGTCATCGACAGTTTCTTCCCACACATTTAAAACTTCGCTTCTTGGGGCACCTGGGTGGCTCAGTGGGTTGGGCGACTGCCTTCGGCTCAGGTCATGATCCTGGAGTCCCGGGATCGAGTCCCGCATCGGGCTCCCCGCTCGGCGGGGAGTCTGCTTCTCCCTCTGACCCTCCCCCACCTCATGTGCTCTCTCTCTCTCTCTCTCTCTCTCTCTCTCAAATAAATGAATAAATAAAATCTTTAAAAAAAAAACAAAAAAACTTCGCTTCTTAACGGGCACACCCCCTCCTTCATTGTCCTTTTCCTTTTCCACTGAGTTTCCATCCTGTTGGCTTGGGAGGATGACCTAGCAGCTCTCAGTACTTGTCCGTCCTTCTAAAAGAAACTAGATCATTTCCCAGTGAAGCCAAGCATAAGATAAGCGGTGTTAAATCTCCAACTATGCCAAAAGGAAAGGAGACAAACCTGGAACAGGTTGTTTTTCTTTAGAGTAACCCTAAAGAAGTCGCTCTGGAGCTGGACCTGAACTTCTGTGGGAAAGAATGAATAGTGCCTCAAGAAATAGTTCTCTAAGATCTCCCCAGATCTAAGGCCTTACAGTGCTGTGATTTAGTTTAATTATTTTTTATTTTAATTCCAGTATAGTTCGCATAGAGTGTTACTAGTTTAGGTATACAATATAGTAATTCAGCACTTCCATACATCACCTGGTGCTCATGATGACAGGTGCACACCTTAATCCCTGTCACCTGTCCCACCTCCCTTCTGTGAACCATCAGTTTGTTCTCTGTAGTTCAGAGTTTGTTTCCTGGTTTGTCTCTTTTTTCCTTTTTTGTCTTGCTGCTTAAATTCTCCATAGGAGTGAGATCATATGGTATTTGTCTGACTGACTTATTTCACTTAGCATTGTAATCCTCTAGCTCCATCCATGTTGTTGCAAGTGGCAAGATTTCATTGTTCTTACGGCTGAGTAATATTCTATTCTATATGTGTATCATCTTTATCCGTTCATCTGTCGATGGACACTTGGGCCGATTCCATAGTTTGGCTGTTGTAGATAATGCTGCTATAAACATAGGGGTACATGTAGCTCTTAGTATGTTTGTACTTGGGGGGCAAATACCTAGTAGTGTGATTACTGGATCATAGGGTAGTTCTGTTTTTTTTTTGAGGTACCTCCATACTGTTTTCCACCGCGGCTGCACCAGTTTGCATTCCTACCAACAGTGCAGGAGGGTTCCTTTTTCTCCACATTCTCACCAACACTTGTTTCTTGTGTTTTTTAGCCATTCTGACAGGTGTGAGGTGATATTTCATTGTAGTGATTTGCATTTTCCTGATGATGAGTGACGTTGAACATCTTTTCATGTGTCTGTTGGCCATCTGGATGTCTCCTTTGGAGAAATGTCTGTTCATGTCTTCTGCCCATTTTTTAATTGGATTGTTTTTTTGAGTGTTGAAGTTTATTTTTTAAAGAAATATTCTAACAGAATTAACTTTAACTAAGTGAAAGAGACAATTAGCCTTTTTGGTCATCATCATAAAAGTATGTTGATTTCATCAGGTCTCTATTTGATTACAACATCACATAATTAAAGAATTAGAAATGTTATACTCACTGCAGGGGGACATTTTCTTATAGTTCCATGAAGTGGAATAAAGATGAAAATGGGAGCTTTCTCAAACTGACTATAGGTAGGATGCTTTGGTAATTGGGTCCACGTGTGGTCTCCGTGGTGGCTGGCCCCAAATTCACATCTCTAGCTCTGCTCTTTGTCTTGTGCTCTAAACTCTTCTAACTGTATCTTGGCAGCCCTGGCTGATACCTACTGGCATGTCATGCTTAGTATGTCCAGAATGAGCTCCAATTTCTCTTTCAGAGCTGGTTCTTCCCCTGACTCCTCGTCCAGAGGAGTCCGTTCTTGTCGAGAGAACTTTAATGACAGCTCTTGGACCTGCCCAAGTCCTCTGGGTTTCCTCTTTCTGCTGGCCTCTGCTTCAGAGCTTAGATGTTTATCTTCTTCCCTTTCTCCCCTTCCATCAAGTGGGTCATGAAATCCTGTTGCTTTGTTCCAGTTCATTTTTCTTGTATCTCATTTTGCATTTTTAGGAGCATCTCGTGCCTTCTGACTTAGCAGGTGCTCACTAAGTGCTAGTGAATGAATAAAAATTAAGCCCGCCAAAGAGCCCAAAAGGTTTCTGTGATTTCTAGTGGTACCAGGTCCTTTCAGTTGTTTTGGTTTCTTTTCCAAGGAGAAACTACTGCCCATCTCTCAGTCTTAAAGCTAGACAGACGTTTAATAATCTTTTAAAGCAGCAATGTGACTTTTGTTCCATATCCTAATGTGTTGTTTTAAAAACCATAGCTGATGCCGTGAATAATGCAGCTGGCTTTGGGTTCAGCGGAGTGGATAAGAATGGAAATTTCTGTTGGGATCTGCTTTCTAACCTAAACATCTGGAAAATTGAGGTGAGTTCATTGTGCTTTTGAATCAAGCTTCCACGGTGAATAAAGCAAATGGTTTGCTTTGCGTTATCCCCGGAAGTTCTTCCTCAGAGCGTCCAAGGGAAAGTGATCAGGGCATGCCTGGTCCAGCAGCTTCCTGGACATTCTGTGTCTTAGAATTTTTCCTGTTTTTTTAAAGATACCTGCTTTCTTGACAGTTGTAATGGTTTAAGGAATGACATGCAGAAATCTGAAAAAGAGCCAGGAAAATCTTTCTGTTGCTTACATTCCTGTTTTCTCAACTAGAAAGTACAAATGTCATTTTCTCTTGTTTCACCTTCTGCTTTCTTCAATCAGTACAGACAGGAAGCTCCGGTATTTAGATTTTTAATATTGCAAGCATTCACTGTGGTTCCTTTTGAACCATTTCTAATCCATTTGCTTTTAAGAAGAATGGTCATGGCACATAGGTTCTAGGCCACTAGACTCTTGTGTGGTTTTTGTCTTTCTCTGGCTTTGTTCGTGGACCACAGCACTGAAGATGTTCTCATCTTCGGAGGGGGGCTCTTTGGGGCCACATCATTCTTGGTTTTCCTGGCGTTGTGAGCCCTTAGAGCAGAGAGGAAGGCCCAGTCTTTGACCCTTTCCTCCTTTCTGCTAGGTGGGAGTAAGGACAATGTTCTCAACTTACAGAAGGGCTGATTCTCTAGCCAGGTGACTCAGATGTGCTGTTGGTCATGGTTTTCCACCCACCACAGAGCAGGCAGGGTGCCACTGGAGAATCTGAGCAGAAGCGGATATGCATTTAGAGCAAGAAACCAGGGATGTGGAGACTGACCATCTGCTTACTGTTAGGTGGACACTCGGCCAGAAGGAGACATGGTGGATGTTCTCCACCTTAACGCCCGAGGCTTCTCTTCATTTTAAATGGCTTAAACCAAGTTGCAGCCTCCAGAACAACCTTTCTCATTTTTGGGAAAACAGTGTAAATAACCTTCAAGGTTCTCCTTTCTTTTCTTTCTTTTCTTTTCTTTTCCTTTCTTTTCTTCTTTCTCTCTCTTTCTTTCTTTCTTTCTTTCTTTCTTTCTTTCTTTCTTTCTTTCTTTCTCTCTCTCTCTCTCTCTCTCTCTCTTTTCTTTCTCTCTTTCTTCTTCTTTCTCTCTCTCTTTCTTTCTTTCTTTCTTTTCTTTTCTTTCTTCTTTCTCTCTCTCTCTCTCTTTCTTTCTTTCCTTTCTTTCTTTTCTTTTCTTTCTTCTTTCTCTCTCTCTCTCTCTTTCTTTCTTTCCTTTCTTTCCTTTCTTTCTTTTCTTTTCTTTCTTCTTTCTCTCTCTCTCTCTCTTTCTTTCTTTCCTTTCTTTCCTTTCTTCTTTCTTTTTTTTCTTTTTTAAAGATTTTATTTATTTATTTGACAGAGAGAGACACAGCGAGAGAGGGAACACAAGCAGGGGGAGTGGGAGAGGGAGAAGCTGGCTTCCCACTGAGCAGGGAGCCCAGGGCTTGATCCCAGGACTCTGGGATCGTGACCTGAGCCGAAGGCAGATGCTTAACAGCGGAGCCACCCAGGCACCCCAAGGTTCTCATTTCTATACAGATGATGATCCAAGAGAGTCCAAATGTGTTATGATTTTGCTCCCTTTTCCCACTAAAATTCTTCTCTTCCTCAAAAGTCTTGGATCACTGCTGGCTGCCTCAGAGCGCTGTGGATACATGTCTTTTACAGTGGTTCCCCTTTGCCTTTGGCTGCCCAGCAGTACACCAAGACAGTCCTTTCACTGTGGGTGTGTGGTCAGAGTAAGGGGCTAAGTTATTAGGTTCTATCTTTATTATTAAAGAAAACCAGAAGGAGGGAGTTTGCATATTCAATAGCGTTGATAGAGAGCAAAGAGCTAAAGAAAACCAAGGAAGTCTGATTTAGTTAAGGTACATTGAAGCTGTGCATATAATATTTTATTAGCCAGCGAAGACATAAATAACACCGTTCAGGGTTTTGAAATAAAAAGTGATAATACAATATCTATCCTCTATCTATTTATAGCTCGCTCCATCCATCCATCCATCCATCTCTCTCCTTCTCTCCAAACATACTATGTTAAGCCAGTATGTGGTCTAAATTGTCTTATGGTTGAAATAGAAAAATGGGGCACTTCCACCTTTATTAGGAATCCTGGTTCTTGAATGCTTGCTTTATGCTTTCTACTACCAGCCTTTGATAAGACCTTTTTCTAAAAATTTTTAAAATTTTTTTAAATTTAATGAGAAAACCCTATTAATGGCTTATTTTAGAATCTCTCATCTTTGGTACCCATATCATTGCCAGTTGGGTGATGTTTGTTTTCTTTTTCATATTGAGACCCCTTCATGCATGAAATCTCTCACTATTCTAAATACAACTGGAAGCATTTGAACCTGAGCAGCTATTTGTAGAATACCTTCACAAGACTGACCTAGTTCACAGCCACGTAGTGAATGATGACAAACGTAGGCTGTCTCCAGAAAGGCCCTAAATTGAAATGATTAAACCTTTCCGGTGGCAAAGCCCCTTTGAGAGAGTGTTTAGTTTTAAAACTCAGATGACTTAGGAAAAAAAATTTTTTCTTAACCAGAGTGGAAGAAAAACCTACAAGACATTCCTTCAATTTTCCTCTAATTTGAAAATACATTTGAGGGAAATGAAGACTTTGCAAGCCAAGTTTTGGTGCAAAGTAAATCTTATAAATACCAGAAAATTTTACTGCGTGGGATGGAACAGCTGATCTACTCTTGATGGAGGAGTCTCTGTTGAAATCACACGTCTCATCTGCCGCCAGGGAAATTCTGGGGACAACTTTCCATTACTTGGGGTATTTTTAAAGCTAATGATAGGTGTTATTTTCTTCTTTCTAGACTGCCACAAGTTTCAAAATGTACTTAGAAAACTGGAATATTCAGACAGCTACTTGGCTGAAGCGGTAAGAAAAATAGAAACGACCTCATTCCTCATGGCACGGGGATATGTTTAGATGGGAGTCACCAGACGAGTGGCAGCTCTGCCAGGCATGATGTGTCACCTGACACTTTTGTTTTGTATTAACATCTATTCCCTAGAAATGGAAAAGTAGAAAAGTAGTAATGTGAGAAGGTTACAATGTAGCATATTTATTTTAGTGGATCGCCTCACAGTGCCATTCCTGTGTACCAACCACTCATTTCCTTGTCACAGCAATCCCCGGAGAGATTGGTAGTTAGCCCCATTTTACAGATGAGGAACGTGACACACACGAGAGGTTATGTCACTTGCCCAGAGTCACACAGCCAGTGAGGACTAGAGAAGAGCCCCAACAGACTGTGTCCAGAGCCAGGCTCTTAAACCTGTGTGTTGTGCCCCCTCTTACCCTAGAGGGAGGGTACATTGCTCAAAGGTCAAGGAGGGTCAATGTCGGCATCATATCACTGACGATCTCCATGTATCCCTAGCATTAAAAGCTTTGTGGTACCCCACATATTTATGCCTTTTCACTCTGTGTTTTTTGTTCATGTTTCTGTCCTTTTGTTTCTCAGCATGTTCCAAAATTGGAAACATAACAATATAAAACTAGTAATATGCTATCCTTGAAGCAACAAACTCTAGCTAGTAAATATTCCTATCTCGTGAGTGCAGGGAGAGTATGAAACTATGAGGCTGGGGATTCTGGTTTTGACCCATAGCATTTTTCACGGGTCACAACATGGGGGTAAGAGACAATAGTAACACCTCCAAAGTAAGCTCATGCACCGTTGTCCGCAAGTTGATCTGAATGTGCAATTTTAGAAAATTTGCACCTATTATTGCTATTAATTTTGTCAATAATTTTTATTTTTTTCACTTTTACTTTTAAAGATTTAAATCTTTAAAAATTTTAGAGTGAGGGAGCACAAGCAGGAGGAGTAGCAGAGAGGGGGAGGGAGAAGCAGGGAGCCCGATGCAGGACTCGATCCCAGGACCCTGGGATTATGACCTGAGCCAAAGGCAGGTGCTTAACCAATTGAGTCACCCAGGCGCCCTTTATTTTATCAATAATTTTAACATAAAACTCTATTTCTGTATATTGGGTAATCCCAATGTACCGAGTCCTACTGTCTTCATTAGGAGTTTATGTTCTAAACATGTATGCTCATTTATAATGAGCACATTATAAATAAGAATTTTAAAAAGTCATTTTAGAAAATGAAATATTTGTACTAAAGATACAGAGTGTAAGAAACAAATACCTGGGCAAACTACCCCATTTCAAAGAAACATTGCAAGTGGCTTCCCAGTCCTGTGTTTCTCTCCCCAAATGCTTTCTCTTTCTTTGTATGAAAAGGGAGCCATAATCCTTAGTTTGGGTTCAGATCAGTTACTTTTGACAACCCATACAGAGCTGGAATGGTGTTAAGTCTTTTGAATTCCTATTTTTTTTTTTTATTTGGGTGCTCTTGTTTAGTGAGCCACGTAGTGCCATTGGCAATTTGTAGATTGAATTTGCTTTAATAAACAACCAAGAGTCAAAGATCTCCAAGGTCTTTGCAGACAATTTCTAGATCCTCACAATGTCACTGTTTAAAGCAAATTCATGGATTGAAATCCAACGGATGCTGGAAGAGCTGAAAAGTCAGTAGCCGACACATTGATTTTGGGCTGGAGTCATTGCCAAGAGAGATGAAAGCGTTTGCAGCACTGCCTAGTTGGGTGGCATGAGGGCCAGGTTGGAAAGATGAATTGAGGACATCCACTTTTTTTTTTTTTTTTAAGATTTTATTTATTTATTTGACAGAGACACAGTGAGAGAGGGAACACAAGCAGGGGGAGCGTGAGGGGGAGAAGCAGTCTTCCCACTGAGCAGGGAGCCTGATGCGGGGCTCAATCCCAGGACCCTGGGATCATGACCTGAGCTGAAGGCAGATGCTTAACCGACTGAGCCACCCAGGTGCCCCGAGGATATCCACTTCTAAAGATGCTGTCCTGATTTTAAAATTTTTAGTGCCAGTGGCACTTACCCAAAAGTACTCCCAGTAGATTAGGGTAGTGGTGGAGTAAGCTTCTATAAGGCAGGAGCTCTTATTATATAGGGTGGCAGCTTGGACTTTTATTAAACATAGTGTGATGGTGTCTAGATCATTTAGTTCCATGCAGGTTACAGCTTCATATTCCTCTCCCCAAATGACTGGACTGTGACTGGACTGTCTGGTAGCATTCAGGATGTGGAGTTCAGGCAGCTGGGATTGCATTGAAAAGTCCCCAATAGGGGACTGATCAGATGATTTTGGTCTGAAGACACAAGTGTGGGTAGATGCTTTTGGTCTGTCCGACCTGTGACTCGTGCCTTCCTCTCTTCATAGAGTATGCTACGAACGGGTTCCATGGTACCCCACGGTGCTAACCTTTGTCTTGTCTGCCTTGTGGCATGGTGTCTATCCTGGATACTATTTTACCTTCTTAACTGGAATCCTCATCACAGTAGCATCCAGAACGGTAAGCTTCTTTTGGTTGTAGGATCTTTGCCTTAATAATCTGATGCCTCTGTGTTTGTCATTAGAGAACTCCTTCAATATATAGGAATTTTGGGCCATAAAATGAACTGTTTTCATGTTATTCACAGACGGTGTTTGCAAAAAGGCATTTTAGGAGTAATGAATGTTTAATACCTTAAGAGATGAAAAAAAATTTTTTGAAGATTTATTTAGAGAGCGAGCATGTGAGTGGGGGGCCGGGGGGCAGAGAGAGAAGGACAAGCAGACTCTGTGCTAAGCTTGGAGCCTGACGTGGGGCTTGATCCCACAACCCTGGGGAGAACATGACCTGAGCTGAAACCAAGAGTTGGATGCTCAACTGACTGAGCCACCCAGGGGCCCCACCTCTATAGAGGCCGAAAAAAGTTTTAATCATTAAACAAAGTCTTCCAAATACAGATGGAAGATTAGTAATTGAGGCTCTGTAGGCTTCATTTTGCTTATACTCATCTTAATTTCTCAGTTCATTATCCTAAGTTTAGAAATAATTCACAGTCTGTGCAGACAGTAAAATTGTAGCCATAGGAACTGTGTTGTTAGAGATTGCTCTAACTTTTCATGTTCTTGTGCCTGATCCAGTAAATTAGTTTTTGTGAAATTCTTTGTGAATTTTATAAATTCGGTTCTCTAGGCTTTTGGGGGTAGCCTTCAGTTTGTCCTAGAGTGTTCCTATCATCTGCTGCTTGTAGAGCAGGATGATAAAGACATAAAAAATATGCCTGTCCTTAAAGAATGAGATAGGCATGTAGGTAAGTCATTACAACGCAGCGTGCTCTGATTGTCAAATAGAGTTTTGTATTTGATTTGGTTGCAATTTGATAAGGATTGTGGCTTTCCTTATTCAGGTGCCAGGAATTTTTAATGACATTTGTCAAACTGTATTTTGGGTGTGAATTTAGGAGCCCCAACAGAGCTATTCACTCATTCTTTAATTCACGTATTCTATGAATATTTCAGGAGCCCGCCTATGTGCCAGTTTGGGTTCTAGGCACACTGGGATACCACAGTGATCAAGAGTCCCCTCCCCACGGAATTCCTGTTTTAGCTAGGTGAATATTTGCTGGAGTATATGTGTGAACAAGAATGATAATTGATTACAACTCATGCTGATGAGTTTACTTTTAAAAGTAAAGTATACATTGTACGTGGGAAACCAAGAACACCTTTTCTCCTCTCCCATTTATCTACCTACTTGGATTATAAAAGAAATGTAAAGAGCAGATGGCCAGGACAAACTAAACCAAGGACCAAAATTTTATTAATCTATCCAGAGTATTATTCCTGAAGATGTCTTTAGCTCTGTGATCTCAGTTGGTATAAAAGCATTGATTTATATAAAGCCTTTCTTTTGCATGGCCTGGACGTATTTTTCACAAATGAGGTCGGTAGGGGGTCGAGAAGGTTGATAGAACAGGATGCCCAGGAGAATGAACTCAGTAGTGAAGTGCCTCAGGGGCTTTCTGATACCTCTCATGCATCCCCCATGGATGGAGCTCTGGCAGTATCTTGAACTTGGGGCCAAGAAGGAGTTTGTAACCTACCGAGGCAGCCCCGGGAAGCCTTTCCTGCTTTGGGGCTGACCTGCCTCTAAGCCAGCCATTGTTTTAGCTATGCCTCTTGTTCTTGGGTCTTGGAATTGGGTGTCTTTCTGGAGGCAAATCTAGTCCCATATGTCAAAAGACCTACAAATTAACTATGGAAAAGCTAGCTTTTCCATAATTAAAATAACAGATTAATATTTCCTGACATGGAATGATTTTTGATCCATTACTAAATGAAAAAAACAGGCTAGAAAATCTGTGCCCTTATTGAGACTACAACTATGGATATGCAGGAATAAGAAAGGCTTGGAAGGATATGTGCCAAGTTTATAAACAGTACTTTTCTCTGAGGAGAGGTCAAAAAGTAAATTCTTTTTTTTGTTTAATTCTTTGAACATTTGTCTACAGTAGACATAAATAAATATATTGATAATAAAAACCACAGTGGTACTTTGGATCACCTATATTCCTGAAGTATAATGCCTACATGCACAAAATAAAAGTCGTTTTTATTTTTCATACCCGCCCCCGGCTTCCTTGGCTTGCAGGTGAGGAACAACTACAGATGTTACTTCCTTTCCTCAAAAGCCCTCAAGGTTGTGTATGATGTGGTCACCTGGGCAGTCACTCAGCTGGCTGTCTCTTACACTGTCGCACCCTTTGTCATGTTGGCAGTTGAGCCAACCATCAGCTTATACAAGTGAGTTTCCATCCTTCTCTATTGCTCTTTGGTACACTGTTCTGTTTTCTCTGTGTTTGACTTGGGGGTTGGTTAATTGGATCACTTGGTATTAAGAATTTCTAAATACAGCTTCAACGTGAAAATGTCCATAGACAGCTTTGGGAGGACCTGGTTATCCCAGGGACCCCAACAGACACACAGCAATACACCGATTTTATTTACTTGAGAAAGAGCTGGAGAGGGTCAGAGGGAGAAGCAGGCTCCCCGCTGAGCAGGGAGCCCGATGCGGGACTCGATCCCAGGACCCCAGGATCATGACCTGAGCCGAAGACAGACGCTTAACCAACCGAGCCACCCAGGCGCCCCACACAGCAGTACATCTGGGCGAAGCTGGTGGGCAGCCTTTCAGATGCCCCTAACATACTGAAGGGATGCTAGGACCGTGAATTTTGAAGGGCTATATCTGGATTATAAACTCAGAGGGTGAAATGTGCTGCCCTTGCCTCTTTTTCCTGGGGGTCAGGCTATGTTGGAGTCTTGTGGGGGAGCATCCTGAGAACAGGACAGAAGCCGACTGCAGCTGGATGGGATGACCTGAGGGGTCTGCGGGTGAGCTTGGTGCTCTAGGGGATGCCGGTGCTGGTGTGCACACAGGGGCTTTATGGTGTGAGCTGCAGGGGTGGAGGGAAGAGATGGCTCACACCAGATACAAGAGGCGTTTTAAAGAATGGGGGTCAGGCCTTTATATTTAACCCCCAGTGGTCCTGAGGAACTGTGAACCTACTCTTGCTTGCTCTTATTATTTTACTGAGGTTGATGTAGTATTTTTCTACTATTGCCAACTGGTGTGTGACCTGTAGCAAGTGATTAACTCTCTCACCTGGCTAGACTGCATCACAAAGCACTGTTGTTAGGAATGAAATGAAGTAAATGTGCAAAGGGCACAGTGCAGTGCCTGGCTTATCGTCTGTACTAGTCAGTGCTGACTTGTGTTATTGAAGGCTTGCGCAGGCTTTTGTAGATGATTCTGAAGTCCTAGCTACGCTCCAAGACTAAACAATGCAAATATGCCCTATTCGTTGGTGGGGATTTCCTGGTCATTGTTGCACTGGTCGGAAATGATCAAAGAAGCTTTTACTACTCTATACACAGCAAGGTCTAGAAGTAGATTTTTTGCCCCCAGGTTATAGGCCAAGAAGGTGGAGGAAAGTATATGCTGCTAGTGAAGTCTGTTCCTGTACCACCAGTTAGGTCATGGGAGTTCTGTCAGTATAATGTGGTAGTTGAGCTGGTTTATATACAGATGTCTCTACACAAGGGATGCCAGAATAGTGGGAAAGAATTCCAGTCCTCAGCAACAAGAGCTCTCCGTGTAGCTGCCACAGAGGGAAGAGCACGAGCCCCTGCAGCTCTGGAGTAAGAACATTGACATTGGGGGTCCCTCTCAAGGTACACCCCTCCCCCCCCACTGCTGCACCTGCTCTGCCCTGGTTCTCAGCTGGCTTTCTTCCTCTATGCCCACCTTGAGGGCAGCCCCCCTTGCACACAGCTCCATCTTCCTTCCCCTCATCTCTGCCCTTCAGCCAATATTTGCCCTTCTCGGTCTTCTCCACTTTAACATCGAGCTGTCTGCCTGGCTTCGGTGCTAATTGTTCTTGTTAGTGCTCTGGTTACAGGGTCTCACAGGTTTCGAGTTGTCTGCTTCTGACATGACCTGCCCCATACCTCCATACGCCCCAGTATTCTAAGTGCATGATACTGCTGAGTGGGAGATTTTTTTTTTCACGTGATTGCAGAAATGGCTGCATTCAGCTCAAAACCATTTAATACCTTCTGTCTGCTGGGCACTGTTCTAGAAGCATTCCAGATCTGTTCCCCACTTGGGACTAATTCTGTAACCAGCAATGAATGGCAGGTGTATGCAAGTCCATTTCTCAGCCTGTCTTTCATTGCTTAGCATTTAAATTTCAGACCTGCTTTATTTTTAAGTGTAGTCAGTTTTCAATCTATAGTGACTTCATAGCTTTAAATTCCTACCTAATCTTAAGTTGTAAATGAGTCCCAAGTGAACACTTAAATGTGTTATGAAAGAACCTGTCTTAGCTCAGGATGCTAGGACTAAGTATAGACTGAGTGAGTTCAACAGCAGACATTTCTCAACAGTTGTGGAGGCTGGGAAGTCCAAGATCAAGGTGCTAGCAGATTCGGTTTCTGGTGAAAGCTGTCTTCCTGGCTTAAGGAAGGCTGCCTTCTTGCTGTGCCCTCACTTGGCAGAGAGAGAGAGACATGAGAGAGAGGGACAGCTCTGGCCCCTGTTTATCTTCTTAGAAAGACACTAATCCCATCATAGGGGCCCCACCCCAAACGGATTACCTCTATTTCTCCAAATACCATCATATTTAGTCCATAGCAGGACCTTTCTGTGAACTCACTTTGAAAAGCAAATCCATATACGTTAAGTAGATGACCCTTTCTTAAATTCAGTGTGTGAGGATGTTAGAATTTGTATAGACATTTTTGAAGATAACGAAGTCCTTGAGAGTGGGAACTATGCCTTATTCATCTGTGCCTCTGGGGTACCTAGTTTTGCCCTAGCATGCTCAATAAATGTTGAGTTTTTCCATAATAAAAAGATGGAATAGGTCTTAAAATTTTAGAGAAATATGGTGGGTCAGAATAGGTTCCTAAACTTTGCAAGGGGTTGAAATATTTTTTCCCTTGACTCCCAAAATGTTTGGCTTTAATCTAACATAATTGTTCCATTGTAGATCTGGCCACGTAGGAAAAGAACAAAGTACATAGGTGTGCAGACTTTGAAATCTATGGCTGGGGTTGCCTGTTGAGAACCCTAGTTTACACCCTGTTGAGCCAGTGTTTCTGTCTGTAACTCTTTCATTCTCAGTGCTCTGGTTTAGACACTAAGTGAGTTGCTCACTTGCCTGGGGCTGTTTCAATTGTAGGAGCCCCCCCCCCCCACCTCACCCCTAGTTTTACTTTCCATGGTTTCAGTTATGCATGGTCAATTGCTCTTCGGAAACAGATGATCCTCCTTCTGATGTATATGGTCAGAAGGTCAGGAGTAGCCCCATGCTACTGATTTAATCATTTCCCATCATCACAAGAAGGGTGAGTACAGTACTGTTGTACTGGATTTTGAGAGGAGAGACCACATTCTCATAACTTATTATGGTATATGGTTATAATTGTTCTATTAGTTGTTAATCTCTTACTGTGCCTAATTCATAAACTGTATGGTAGGTAGGTACATATAGGGAGAAACATAGCATATAGAGGGTACAGTACTATCCACAGTTGGAGACATCCCCTTGGGGGTTTTGGAACATGTCCTCCAGCTCGGTCGGGGGCTGGGGGGGTGGGGAAACTACTCTACCTTACCTCCTATACTTGTTTCCCATTCCCCTGAAGAAAGAGATGCGGGCTTTTCCTTTTTATAAATCCCGGTTTAATGCTTTGTACATCCTAAGCAGTAAATGCATATTGAAAGAATAAGTGAGTGGAGATGTGTTCGCTTGTTAGAAGTCTTGACTATTCTGTAGACATTTTCAGGGACGTTTAGGGGATATGTGAATTATTGGATTCTAATGGGTCTGACCTTGTGATCACAGAAGCTGAGCAATGATGCATGAATGCATTGTGGGTTTTTTTCCCTCCTTTTCACATTATTTTTCCTTTGATCTTCAAAGAGTATTGGAGAAAGTCTAAGTTCAGCCTTTTCAAAAGGATCTAGAACAATTGTACAAATGCGAGCTGTTTCTAATTACATTTACAGATATGCCAGTATTTACTGTCTACATTGTGCTCAGTGTGCTGAACACCACATTTACGCAATAAAAGTCCACAGACTCAAAAGCAACACTTGTTTCTTATTAGTTTGGATGAAAGCTATTTTAAGAGTCATGGAGTAGGTTTTGAAAATCTGGATTCTTTTGGCTCCTCACACAAGAACCCCTTATACTTGAGTACATCAGCTAAAGTTGCATTTGTACAGAATACAGGGTTTGAATTTTCCTGTGTGTCCTTATATTTCGAATATTAGGGGATTCTGGCTGTCAGGGGATTAACGTTCTTAGTTTGCTCATGGCAGTGGGTCTATCTGTAGATGGGCTGCTGGGTTTGCTCTACCCAGTCCTGTGGTTTTGGTCCATCCCTGGCCTGCTCACCTACTGGAGTTTTCATGGGGTGGACTGAAGCAAGCCACTTGCTGGACTGCAGATGATGTAATCACATCCATGCGACATTTCCCATTTGTTTCCTTGTGTGCAATTTAACTTTTGCGGATGTTTTATTCTAGGTCCATGTATTTTTATTTACACATCATAAGTCTCCTGATAATACTCTTTCTGCCAATCAAACCACACGCTCATATCCAGAGGCAGCCTCAGACTCTGAACTCTGTTAATAAGAAAAAAAAAGACTGATACCTCCAAGGAAGCCAAGCAGGTAAAACAGCAAAACATCAGAAAGAGGAGATCAAAGGCTCAAGGGTTCACCAGGGACTTAGAAGTGATGTTTACATGCTTTTTTTTTTTTTTTTTTAAGTGCAGGGAGTATTTTATAAAGCCTTTTCTATGATTAAGTTAGCCATGTCCAGTTGATTTAATATTGCTGAGGACATTTGAGTGGTGTGGAGGAATGTGGAGACTGTGCTGGTGTTGCAGAGACCGTCCCTTCTGGGCTGCTGGGTCTTTGCTTTTCTGGCATGATTTCCAGCCACTGGAACCCGGGCACCTGCTCCAGAAGGCGGAAGGTGGTTGCTGACAGAGCTTGTCTTCCAGAACATACCCACAGTTGTTCCTGGGGAAACCCCAGGCCCTTTGACCACAGCAACTATACAGAAGACCGTGGAGGAGAGGGATCCTGCAAGAAGGACCCAGGAGGACTTGCTGTGAACACTTGAATGGACTGAAAGGCATGCCCTGAAGTAGGCTGCATTTTTTTTTTTTTTTCCAGGGACAGGACTCTTCCCTTTTTTCTTTGAACTGAGCCAAGATCGGAAATCAGAAAGTCTCCTGTGCACATACCCGGGGAGTCTAGGAAGGGCTGTTTTCCATTTCACATGTGCCATCTGCCTTGCCCAGGGTGGCCCTGAGAAAACACCCAAATGTTTGCATCATCAGAGGCAGCAGAATGTCTTAAATAATTTTTTTTTAAAGTAAAGTTATATAGGAGCTTGGTAAGAAGCAACGTTTTTCTTTGCTCCCCTCATTTCATAGAGGGGTGAATGATCATGGCTATGATGCACACGTGGGCTGATTTTCACTTTTCTGATTTTGCACCTGTTTTAGTTGAATCATCATATTGGAAAGCAGACATTGAAAACCATTTTCTATCTTTGTTATGAATGTGCTGTGGTTCCTTTCAGGGACTTCTATTGGGTGATAATTCTATGTGGGAGAAGGAAACATGGTATTGTGCAAAATAATAATGATGCTGATAATTGTATGGTACAATGGTGTGCCCTCATATAAATGCCTTGGGAGGAGAGAATTTGTTCAGATGGTCAAAAATTGGTTTCATACTGAGTGAATACTGTGTTTCTATATAAAGGAAATGTTTCTGAACAGAAGCGTTGTTTTTTTTGTGAGTGGAGACTCGGCATTCTGAAGCACATGTGTATATTTGTGTGTTTCTCTGTTTTAACAAATATGCACAAACTTAAGGTTTTACTTGTTTCAAATTTGAGCATTTACAACATGTTCAATTTGTCCTCTATGTCAGGCACTTGGACAGTTTTGATTTTTAGTTTGATTTTCTATCTTCATTCCCACCTTTGCAGGTAGGCTTAAACCCTTTTTACAGATGAGGAAATGGAGAATCAGAGGGACGTTTGTTAACTGTCCCCAGTCACAAAGTTAGTGAAGGAGCAGAGATTAAAATCCAAGGCAGTCCCAAGAGAGCTGTTGGCAGTTAGTATTTCCAAGAGATATCCTGCTGCTGCTTCTCTTAGGACAATGACATGTGATGTGCTGGTCCCTTGAAGAGTTTATATGGTGCTGGGGGAGAATACTAGAACCTGAACTCTAGGCCTTATGTGAAGTAATGGAAGTTAAAAAGCACATTTTGGCCAGTGTTTGAGGCTCACCCCAATTTAACCAGGTAACGTTGAGGCAATCCTACCTCTCTGGTCTGTGAGGGAGGTTATGGGGAAGGGATGTAGGTGCTTAAAATCTGGGACTTTTTGAGGCTCAAGACCAAGAAAAATGCACACTGGTGAAAATGGTATAGATCACCATGGGCATAAAGTGTATCATCGAGAAATCTTTGAATTTGCAATATGATTTCAGGTTTCACTGTATTTAAACATCTTCATTTCTGAACGAAGAATTTTGGTAGCAAGAAGATTGGTGATCTCTAGGGTGACCAACCATCCTGTCATGCTAGTGACTCTACTGACCCTTCAGTCCTGGGCAAACGTGGAACATTGGTCCCTATAGTGTCTGCTAAGAATCACTTATTCATTACTGAATGGAGTCAAGTTGAAGCCTTTGGAATCCAGGCTTATAGATGTATGTCAGACAGAAATGAACCCTTAGGCACATTTTTCTTATTTCAGGGCTTTATTCAGTGTAGGCATGTTTCCTTTCATGCACTTCACTTTCTTGTGCTTTGCCAATACTGGTGTTTGTTTGTTTGTTTGTTTGTTTGTTTTTTTTTTACAAATTGAAGGTTCACGACAACCAGATGTCAAGCAAGTCCATTGGCACCATTTTTTTCCAACACTGTTGCTTATGTCTGTCACATTTTGGCAATTCTCACAATATTTCAAACTTTTTAATTATATCTGTTCTGGTGATTTGTGATGTTATCTTGTAACTGTTTTAGGGTGCCATGAAGCCCACCCAAATAAGACAAGGAGCTTAGCTGAGAAATGTGTGTGTTCTGACTGCTCCACCAACCAGCTGTTCCCCATTTTTCTCCCTCTCCTCAGGCCTCCCTGTTCGCTGAGACACAACACTGAAATTAGGCCCATTAACCGGACAACGGCCTCCAAGGGTTCAAGTGAAAGGAATAATCACACATCTATCACTGTAAATCAAAAGCTAGAAATGATTAAGCTTAGTGAGGAAGGCATGTTGAACGCCAAGATAGGCTGAAAGGTAGGCCTCTTGCACCAAACAGCCAACTTGTGAATATAAACAAGTTTTTGAAGGAAATGAAAAGTTCTTTTCTCATGAACACATGGATGATAAGAAAGCAAAAGTCTTATTGCTGACATGGAGAGTTTTAGTGGTCTGGAGAAGTCAAACCAGCCATAACTTTCCCTTAAGCCAAAGCCTAAATTCTGTGAAGTCACAGAGAGGTGAGGAAGCTGCAGAAGGAAAGTCTGAAGCCAGCAGAGGTTGGTTCATGAGGTTTAAGGAAAGAAGCCTCCTCTATAAAGTGCAAAGTGCAGCAGCAAGTGCTGAGAAGCTGCCGCAAGTTCTCCAGAAGATTGAGCTGGGACCATTAATGAAGGTGTCTGCACTGAACAACAGATTTTTCAATGTAGATGAAACAGCCTTCAATTGGAACTAAGATGCCATCTAGGACTCTCATAGCTACAGAGAAGTCAGTGCCTGCCTTCAAAACTTCAAAGCACAGGCTGAACCTCTTGTTAGGGGCTGATACAGTTACTAAGTTGAAGCCAACACTCATTCACCATTCTGGAAATCCTAAGGCCCTTAAGAATGATGCTAAATCTACTCTGCCTGTGCTCTATAAATGGAACAACAAAGCCTGGATGACAGTACATGTTTACAACATGATTTCCTGAATATTTTAAGCTCACTGTTGAGACAGGAAAGGTGGAAAAGAAAGAAGGAAAGAAGATTCTTTCAAAACATTACTGTTCAATGACAATGTACCTGGTCACCCAAGAGCTCAGGTGGACGTGGACAATGAGATGAATGTTGTCTTCATGCCTGCTAAAACAATATCCATTCTGCAGCCTATGGATCAAGGAGGTAATTTAGGCTTTTAAGTCTTATTAAGTAATACATTTCATAATGTATAGCTGTTGTAGTTAGTGATTCTTCTGATGGATCTGGGCAAAGTAAATTGAAAACTTTTTGGAGTTCTGGATCAAGATGGTGACATAGGAAGACTCTGAGCCCACCTCCTCCATGGATACATCAAATCTACATCAATTTATAGAGCAATTCTCCTGAAGAGCTAAGGGGTGACTGAACTGCTTCTGTACAGCGAAAGATAAGACCACATAGAGAATAGCAAAAGAAATGGAGACATGATAATGAAGGGAATCCCTCTTCCTCAGTGTTGCAAACTGCAGTGGGGAGGAATGGTATTGAGGGATCTTAAGCAGATTCATTTGCAATAGGGCAAGAAAAAAAGCTATGGTTTAAAAGACCACCTAGGATATAAAGGAACTGGCCCTAGACACTGCCAAATGACTGGGGAGCTGCTGGAACTTTCTCAGGGTTGCATTGGCTGGTGAGTACCATGGTTTGTATTTTCCTTCCTTCCTTGACAGCACAGATGGGAACAGGGTTCTGGCACGATAGCTGGCCTGCCACCTCAGAAAGCCCTGGGCCCCTAGTCCATACCAGCCCCGGATGCTCTGGGCCACAGGAAAAAAGCCATAGCTTGAAGGATCGATTGGAATACAAAGGAGCTAGCCTTAGAATATTGCCAAATGGCAGGGAACTGCTGATGGAAATCTTTAGGTCACAGAGGCTTATGAGCACCCTGGTTAATGTTCCTCCACCACCATGATAGCATGGGTAGGAGCGGGGTTCTGGGCACCCTAGCCAGCCTACCTCTTCAGTGAGCCCCAGGCACCTAGCCCACACCAGTTCCAGCCATCCCACTAAGGTGGCCCCAGCATGGCACACACCATGACACCCCTAGTCTGCACTCACTACAGCCTTAGCTTTCTTATCAAGATGGCACAGGCACAAAGCACCTCAGAACAATCCAGGCCTATCTGAAAAAAAGAAAACCTACAACCAAGAATACCTTGCCTGGCAAGGATATCCTTCAGAATTGAAGGAAAGAGAATTTCTTATGCAAACAAAAATTAAAAATGTTCATCACCACTAAACTGGCCTTACAAGAAATGTTAAAGGTACTTCTTTAAATGGAAAAATGGAAGGCCATAATTAGATGAAAATTATAAATAGAGGTAAAGTGGGACAACATATACATACAATGTGGAAAGGGGAATAAAAAAGTTCTTTGAGAATTTGTTCAAACTTAAGTGACCATCAACTTAATATACATAAAAAAATAAGTAAAAGTGTAACACTGCAGAAAGTCACCAATCATAAGACAGCAAGAGAAGAAACATAGCAAAAGCTACAAAAAAATGACCAGAAAACAGTGAACAAAATAGCAGTAAGTACATATCCATCTATACTCTAGATGTAAGTGGTGGAAGGAGCCAAGATGTCCTTCAACAGATGAATGGATAAAGAAGATGTGGTTCATACATACAATGGAATATTCAGCCATCAGAAAGGATGAATACCTACCATTTGCATCAACATAGATGGAACTGTAGGGGATTATGCCAAATGAAATAAGCAGAGAAAGACAGTTATCATAAGGTTTCACTTATATGTGGAACATAAGGAAGAGTGTGGAGGACCACAGGGGAAGGGAGGGAAAACTGGGAAAAAAATCAGAGAAGGAGACAAACCAGGAGAGACGCTGGACTCCAGGAAACAAACAGGGTTACAGAAGGGAGGGGCCTGGGGGGATGGGGTAACTGGGTGATGGGCACCTGTTATGAGCACTGGGTGTTAAATAATAAAGGCCAAAAGAAAAAAGTCAATGTAAATGGTCTAAATGGCCCACTTAAAAGACATAGGGTGGTTGAATGGGTTGAAAAAAACAAGAGCCATCCATATGCTGCCTATAAGACACATACAGACTAAAAGTAAAGGGCTGAAAAAAATTCCATGCAAATGGAAGAAAAAAACCCCACACCCAATGTAGCAATTCTTATATCAGAAAAAATGGACTTTAAAACAAAGACTCTAATGAGGGACCATGAAGGACATTACATAATGATAAAGGGATCAATCCAACAAGATTTAACAACTGAATATCTATGCACCCAGCATTGGAGCATCTAAATACATAAAGCAAATATTAATAGACATAAAGGGAGAAACTGACAGTAAGATTTTAACACCTCACTTAAATCAATGGATAGATCATCCAGGCAGAAATTCAAAAAGAAACAGTATCTTTGAATGAAACATTACACATGGACCTAACAGATTCGTACAGAACATTCCATACAAAATCAACAGAATACATGTTCAAGTGCATATGCAACATTCTCTAGGATAGATCACATGTTAGGCCACAAAACAAGTCTTAATAAATTTGAAAAGTTTGAAATCATATTTTTCTGACTACAATGGGTTGAAACTAGAAATCAATCATGAGAAAAAAAAAATACAAACACATGGAGATTAAACAACATGCTACTAAACGATGAAGGGATCGATGAAGAAATCAAAGAGGAAATAAAAAAATACATGGAGACAAATGAAAATGAAAACACAACAGCCAGAATCTTTGGGACACAACAAAAGCAGTTTTAAAAGAAATGTAGGGTCATCTGCATGTCTCAGTTGAGCATCCGGCTCTTGATTTCAGCTCAGGTCATGATCTCAGAGTCCTGGGATTGAGCCCCAAGTCAGGCTCCATGCTCAGTGGGGGGTCTACTTTAAGATTCTCTGTCTCTCCCCTTGCGCGCTCTCTCTCTAAAATAAATAAAGCCTAGGGTACCTGGGTGGCTCAGTCAGTTAAGCATCTGCCTTCAGCTCAGGTCATGATCTCGGGGTCCTGGGATCAAGTCTCACGTCAGGCTCCCTGCTCAGCAGGGAGTCTGCTCCCTCTCCCTCTGCCCCTTCCCCCTGCTCATGTTCTCTCACACACACACACACACACACTCTCAAAGAAATAAAATCTTTAAAAAAATGGAAATGTATAGTGATACAGGCCTACCTCAAGAAATAAGAAAAATGTCAAACCTTACACCTAAAGAGGCTAGAAAACAAACCCAAAGGTTAGTAGAAGGAAGGAAATAAAGATCAGGGCAGAAACAAAGATTTTTTAAAACCCACAAGAGATCAATGAAACCAACCAAACTGGTTCTTTAAAAAGATAAAATCGATAAACTTTTAGCTAGATCCATCAAGAAAACAAAAGTGGGGAAAGAACCCAAATAATAAAATTTGAAACAAAAGAAAAGTGACAGCTGATACCACAGAAATACAAAGGGTTTTAAGAAACTACTAAGAAAAATGATATGCCAACAAATCGAACAACCTAGAAGAAATAGATAAATTTCTAGAAACATACAAGCTTCAAAACTGAATCAGGAAGAAATAGGAAATTGGAACAGACCAATTAGTAGTAACAGTTGAATCAGTAATCTAAAAACTTCCAACAAACAAAAGTCCAGGACCAGATTGTGTCAAAGCTGAATTCTACCAAATATTTAAAGATTTAATACCTATTCTCCTCAGACTATTCCAAAAGAAATAGAAGATGGAAGAAAGCTTCTGAATACACTCTGTGAGGCCAACATTACCCTGGTAATCAAAACCAGACAAAGACAAAACCAATAAAAAAGGGAACTATAGGCCAATATCCCTAATGAACATAGATGCAAAAATTCTCAACAAAATATTAGCAAGCTACATTCAACAATATGTTAAAAGGGTTATTCACCACTTATCAAGTGGGCTTTATTCTTGAGATGCAAGGATGATTTGATAATCTGCAAAAAAAAAATGATTACACATTAACAAAATGAAAGATGAAAATAATCATCTGAATAGAGAAAACACTTAACAAAATACAACATCCATAAATACTCTTAATAAAGTGGGCTTCGAGGGAACCTACCTCAACATAATAAAGGCCATGTATGAAAAACCCACAGCTAACAACATATTTGTGAAAACCAGATTTTTTTTTTATCTAAAATCAGGAACAAGACAAAGATATCTATTTTCACTACTTTTATTCAACATAATGCTGGAAGTCCTAGCACAGCAATCAGAGATGAAAAGGAAATAAAAGCCAGCCAAACTAGTAAGAAAAATTTAAATTGTCACTATTTGCAGATGATATATTTAGAAAACCCTAAAGACTTGACCTGAAAACTATCAGAATAAATGAATTTAGTAATGTTGCAGGATACAAAATTAATATAAAGAAATCTGTTGCATTTCATTACACTAATAATGAAGCAGCAGAAAGGGAAATTAAGAAAACAATTCCATTTACAATTGTACCAAAAAGAATAAAATACCAATGAAGAAACTTAACCAAGAAGATGAAAGATCTATACTCTTAAAACCACAAAACATTGGTGAAAAAAAGATGAGCAAGCAAATAAAAAGATATACATGTTCATAGATTGGAGGAATATTATTTAAATGTCTATACTACCCAAAGTAATCTACAGATTTAATGCAATCTCTATCCAAATACCAATAGCATTTCTCACAGAACTAGAAAAAATACTACAATTTGTAGAGACCCACACTGTTCCAAACAGTTTGGGTCAATGAGCTTTAAGAGAAATACGTTCGAGTTTATTTTTGTGTATGGTGTAAGAAAGTGGTCTAGTTTCATTCTTTTGCATGTTGCTGTCCAGTTTTCTCAATACCATTTTTTGAAGAGACTGTCTTTTCCCCATTGCATATTCTTGCCTCCTTAGCCAAAGATTGACCATATAATTGTGGCATTCTTTCTGGGCTTTCTATACTGTTCCGTTGATCTGTGTGTCTATTTTTGTGCCAGTACCATACTGTTTCAATTACTATAGCTTTGTAATACAACTTGAAATCTGGAATTGTGATACTTCAGCTTTGTTTTTGTGAGACCCAAAACCATAAAAATCCTAGAAGAGAACACACAGTGATTTCTCTGACATTGGCTGTAACATCTTGCTAGGTAGGTCTCCTGAGCAAGAGAAATAAAAGCAAAAATAATCCTATTGGGATGACATCAAAATAAAAAGCTTCTGCATAGCAAAAGAAACAACAAAACCAAATGACAACCTGTTGAATGGAAGATGTTGGCAAATGACATATCCAATAAAGGGTTAATATCAAAAATATGTAAAGAACAGAAACACCCAAAAAATAGATAATCCAATGAAAAAAATGGACAGAAGACATGAACAGATATTTCTCCAAAGACGACATACACATGGCCAACAAAATGAAAAGATGCTCAGCATCACTCATTGTCAGGGAAATGCAAATCAAAACCATATCACTTCATACCTGTCAGAATGGCTAAAATAAAAAAATACAGGAAATAAGAGTTTACATGGATGTGGCGAAAAAGGAGCCCTCCTGCACTGTCGGTGGGAATGAAAACTGGTGCAACCACTGTGGAGAACAGTATGGAGGTTCCTCAAAAAATTTAAAAATTGATTGACCTTATAATCCAGCAATCGCACTAGTGGGTATTAAGGTTATGCAAAGAATATAAGAACACGGGGCACCTGAGTGGCTCTGTCCTTAAGTGTCTGCCTTCATCTCAGGTCATGATCCCAGGGTCGTGGGATCGAGCCCCACATCAGGCTCCCTGCTCCCTCCTGGTGGGAGGCCTGCTTCTCCCTCTCCCACTCCCCCTGCTTGTGTTTCCTCTCTCGCTGTGTCTCTCTCTGTCAAATAAATAAATAAAATCTCTAAAAAAAAGCTTAAAAAATATATAAGAACACTAATTCAAAGGGATACATGCACTCCAATGTTTATAGCAGCATTATCTACAATAGCCAAATTATGGAAGCAATCCAAATGTCCATCAGTTGATGAATGGATAAAGAAGATGTGGTATACACATATGATGGAATATTATTGAGCCATAAAGAGTGAAATCTTGACATTTGCAACAATGTGAATGGGGCTAGAGGGTATAATGCTAAGTGAAATAAATCAAAGACACAAAT